GCCCAAATAAATATATTATTTGAATCCCACCTTAATATAATCGATTATTTTTTTTTATTTTGATACACGTTATCTGAACAAGTTTTAATCGATTTTTAGGAAGAAAATAATCGATTTTCGATCACTGTTCATCGTCTTCTACCTTCGGTCCATTTTCGGACATATCAATTTTAGTTACTAAACTTCAATTAAACTATATCGAAATGTTCTCCAAGGTTCATAGATCATTTTAGAATCATTAAAACATATTTTTAACATCAAATTCAAGGTTTATGATTCTTGGTTCTTCAAACATGTCAAACACAAAACTCAACCAAATGACCATTTATGAACGTAAAAACAACCTATATGAACATTCTAATCTTTAGATATATCTACGGGCTTACCTCGAAGCTAAATGGAGGTTTTGAAGATTTTCCGACGAAACTTCCGGCGACGATAGCTCTCAACTCCGGCGACCTTACACCAAATTGACAGCACCACTGCGTTCTCCACACTCAAGGCTATCTCCCAGAACGAATTTGATGAAGAATGGTGAAGAAATGGTGAAGTTTTTGTTTCCATTATATAGAAGAAGGGAAGGGGAAGAAGACATGGGATGACATGTTGTTCTCCTGTTTTGGCGTCTCAGTGGAGCAGACGGCCGATAACGCAAGTCCCTGATTGGGACCAATTTTGGTTCCAGTCGGGGTACACTTTTTGTTCCAACTTTCTCCAAATTGATATCCGATTGAACCGTTGGGGTCAGACAGTCAAACTCTACATAATGATATGATTTTCATTATTTATTGACAAACTTTAGAATTTACTTATTTTTGGGTCCTTCTCAGTAATTAATTAATTATAAATTAATTAACTCTGATAGGCCCATTTTTGGGGTGTTACATGTTTTCTCAAATTTTATATATATATATATATATATATATATATATATATATATGTATGTATGTATGTATATATATATATGTGTGTGTGTGTATATATATATATATGTGTGTGTATATATATATATATATATATATATATATATAAGGGCAATATGGGGAGGGCACTGGGAATGAGAGAAGGGAAACTCCCCATGTCTTACCTGGGAGCAACCATTGGCAAAGGAAAGATGAAAAAGGCACATTGCAAGAAAATTATCCTCCACTTTGACTGCTACCTTAATACTTGGTTTAGTAAGGTTTTAAATCAAATGGGAAGGCTAATCCTCATCAAACATGTGCTTAGTTCAATTCCTCTTCACATCTTGGCGGTCCAACAAATGCCCAAATCTGTCATGGACATCCTAAATAAGAAAATGCAGAACTACTTTTGGGGCTACAGGACGGGAAACCCAAATATCACTGGAAAAACTAGAAAAGTATGTGCTACCCCACCATTGAAGGAGGGGTTGGAATTAGGCACCTCGAGGATATAGGGGCAGCATACTCCTCAAAACTTTGGTGGAAGCTTCGTAATAATGGAGGTTTATGGGAAGAATACATGAGGCACAAGTACTGAACACAAACCTTTTGTGAAAGACCAACGGACTCAATTACTTGGAAGAGAGTTTCTAGAATTCACAACTGGGCATTGTAACATGTTGATAACTCTGAGGGTGCAGATACATGGGAAGGAGAGGATTTCTCAATCTCTTGCAAGATGATTTGGGATAAAACCCAAATACCTACGATCAAACTCTTCCTTTGGAAAACCTTCAACAATCTTCTTCCTTTCCCAAATAATTTGTCTAGATTCAACATGGCATTACAATCAAGGTGCAACTTCTGCAAGCAAGGCACTGAAGACTCAAACCACACTCTCTACCAATGTCAATATTCACTGAAAATACGGAAATTCTTCTCCACACTCTTCCAGGGCCCTATCATCCGCAGAAACTCCACATTACAGGAAGCTTGTATGAACTAGTGGCTGGTCACCTGTCGTAACTCCATGCGGGAGAAGCTCACGGCCAACCTCCCAGGGTTCATTGCATGGGGTCTATGGAAGGCATATAATGCAGAGAAATATGAAGGAGAGGCTTTTAAGGAAAGCAGGATCATATATAATATTATGACAATGATTCAACAATGGTGCTGGGCTCATCATGGAAAGATATGGATGATTATGGATGAAGAAATGAGGAATATAGGCTTTCAGCCATGGACTCGTCGAAGATTATTATTCTAATTGCCTCATTTTGTTCTGCATTGATGTATTTTGGGTTCGGTTTTACCCCACACGCACTTATTTCTATCTCCATTTATTTTATATATATATATATATATACACATACATACATACATACATACATATATATATATATACATATATATATATATATATACACACACACACACGAGATAGTGGAATGGAACGGGAAAATATATATGTGTCTCACCATTTTAAAATGGTTCGGAACGGCTTTGGGACAAAATATTTTATCATCCCTAACAAAATGTAACATTATAGAGATGAGATCAGAATATTTCGGACTAGTACAACGGTTTCGGTATTCTTACCCACCCCTATAATATCGTGTTTGTATTTGTATAACATTTCTGATATCTTAGTTTTGATTGTCTGAGCACGCAAGCACGAACGAATTTAATTCGGACCAATTTGGGACGAAAAGTTTGATAAATTTCTCCAATGGTATACAAACTTTCATTATTATTTTGATTTGATTCGTAAATTTTAATTTCTATCGCAAATATACGAACTTTCATCATTTTTTTCGTGGATGGTCCATTAGGGGTTCCAAATTCACCATCAGGGCAATTGGGGCCAAACTCAGAAAAACTAACTAGGCCGCTGGGGGGTTTGAAATGATAATTTTGAAAGATAAAACTTATAAATTGAGATAAAGAGACATGGACACACATAACCATTGCAACTAGCTCAAAAACTCAAGAGAATAAAGTAGGGAAACAAGCAAACACAAACAAACAAGCATTTACATGTTATAGAGACTTAAGGGTTGATTATTAACTTAGACTGTTTTAAAAATATTATGAAGTTGCACATGCAATTCTTAGACTGAGCTTAGATTGAAACTAAAAGATTGACAAAACTTAGGGTTAATTGAAAAAGATGTTCACATGCACACTTCCCTATTTTCTCTTGTAAAGCCTATGGTAAGATTTCCCTTAACTCTAAACCCTAGTATTCTTAACAATCCAAGGACTTGCAGACCTACCTCTAATGTAGCTAAAAATTGAGCATCAAGTTCTTTGGAAACATCATTTTATAACTACACAGTAGATTTTACTCTCCTCTGTCCCAATTTCAATTGCCTGTTTTGAACTACAATATTTGATTGAAATTATTTTTCAAATCATTTTATATGAAAAACAATGTAAAATTAAAAAATAAAAAATATATCAAAAGATCTACAAAACTAGTGATATCATGACTATATTATTTTATTAAATGACTAACAAAAATAAAGAAAAAAGTCCATGAAATTTGACCTAGTAAATAATAAACAGGCTATTTAAATTAGGACGAAGAGAGTATTTAAAAGAGTCAATTAAATATTAATTACTTGACACTTGTATTTTTGAAATCTAAGCTATGAACATACTTAAGATAAATATTACTCCCTCCGTTCCATTTTATAACGCCTGTTTCGGTTTACGATGTTTGATCAAAATTATTTTCAAATCATTTTATATGACAAATGGTATAGAGTTAAAAAATAAAAATTACATATTAAAATACTACATCAAAAGATCTACAAAAAGTAGTGACAATAGTATTTTATTTTATCAAATTGCTACGAAAACAGAGAAAGAAAGTGAATGAAGTTTGACCCTATGAATAGTGAACATGCATTATAATTTGGGACGGAGGGAGTAATTAGTTGACACTTGTATTTTTGAAATCTAAGCTATGAACATACTTAAGATCATAAAACTTTCAGGTAGGAATTAGTTTTAGGCAGCCGTCCTAAATTAGGTCTTATCCAAGCGTAAAGGAAATCAATTTTCAAACACCTTTTTGCGTTTGAAATCAAGAGTAGCACAAAGGGTAAAATTCCCTCAAAGTCATATTACTCAATAAGAAATGTGGGATCAAAAAAGAGGAATCAAAAGATAGGGGGTGGAGTTACCCTCCATACCAAAATGCCACATGGAAAAAATTTAGTGCCAAGTTTGTTTTGCCTCTACCATACCGTCCACCCTAAATACGCTTTCTTAATCCTAGTCTACGCTTTTTTTACCTTTCTTTTTCCTCGAAGAGATCTTGGTTTTCGATTCATCCTGGCATGGGTCTTGCTCTATGGAATCATCCCCTGCTGGCTCAATGTCTCTCAAATTGTGTGGTTTCCTTTTCTTTGAAGAAATCTTGATTTCCAATTCTTCCTGATTTGGTTGTTGCTCTATCGAATCACATCCTGCTGATTCAATGTCTCTCAGCTTCTGTGATTTCTTCCTTTTCTTTGAAGAGGTCTTGGTTTTGAGTTCCAACTCATCTTGATGAGACCCTTCCACAGCTATAGCACCAGCTAAGAGTTCAATATCTGTCAACTTGTGTGCTTTCTTTTTCTCAGAAGAGACATTGGTTATTTCCTCTTTCTGGTTGGCATCTTCCTCCGTTAAATCGCCTTCTCCTAAGTTCTCTTCATTTGCTGCTTCAATGCTGTTCATACCATCTTTTATTTCTGACTTTTGTCTTGAGTTACCAACATCCACTTGGGGTTCCATGACCGACATTCTAGTTAGTGTGTAGTCCAATAGGTACGTGCTTCTTTCTAACCTGTCTATCCTGTTGAAATGCCTCTGTGAGTAGGGCACAATTCCTTCAAGCAACTCTCCAACACCTTTTATCTGCAACACCATTCAAAAAATAGAACTTCAAATGAGCTCTACATTCAGGTTTAGTGCAAAACTTTCCCTCAAAAAAACAAGTGTTGTGCAACAACAAAACACAACCAAATAAACCAAAAACAGATAAACTTCTTTAATCAACTCATTAATTCAATGCGAGTAAATGAAAAATACTTGCTGCTCCGCAAAGAATCCACTCTACACAAGAATTGAATTGGCATTTGTTCGTTTCCGGAAAATAAAGACTTCGTTAAAAAAAAACCCCTATTGCCTGTTTGCAAACAGAGAAACTAATTTGGTAAGTTTTTTATACACCTTTTTGGGTGTTCAGAACTCTGAAAAGTGTTTCCCCTTTTGAAAATAAGTTTGTTATCCTTTAACCAGGGAAGTAACTTGCATTGACCAATTTTCTTGGATTCACTGCAAAAAACAGCACCTAGTATAACCCTAATTCCGTTGGGGTTGGGGGGTCAAGATTTATGCAGCTTTGCCCATGTAAGAGACAAAGGCTAATCATGAGTCCCTAGATGCATTGTTGCACATTTACAATTGACAACTTCATAGAAAATAAGAAGTAAGCTTAATGTGCCATTTTGTTTAGTCTATTTTATTGTACAAGCAAAAACATTGTTAATAATGGCCCTTTTAACTCCATTGGCAATGGACTCACTAAAAACAAAAAATGAGCAATACTTTCTTGGGACTCATTTTCCATTAAACAAATGGAGCCTGTGGCCTGCAACAGGGTAAATACAAATAGGAAAGCGCAAACCTCTACAATCTCTGTTGGTGGAAGCATGGCAAAAACTGTAGAAAGAACAAACTGCGCAATGTGACAGAACTTTGGTTTTGTATTGCATTCTCGGATGTACTCCAAAAGCAACTGAAACTCTTCCTTGCCAAAAGAATGGAAAGCTTTTTCTAACAGAGTTTTGGGATCTTCCTTTCTGCATTCAATTAAAGATTAGAGAAAGGAGATAACACGAGAAAACCTCAGAAAATGAAGGGGAAGGGGGGTCAAATCAAGTAATAACCCACCCTTTGCATGGGTGAGCAGGTAACACCATAACCTTTCATTTGTTATTACAACAATAAACTTTGAAAATTTTGATAGCACGGGGCAAAGAATTGGAATGAGAGCAATGAAATTCTGCCCGGTTACTGACTTGTGTATAGACTTGACAAAACAGACCAGGACCCAATAACCCAAACCAAATATCCTGGAATTGAATCCGAAATGACCCGAAAAATGAAGAACCAAATTATACCCGAACACCCGAAAATGATTCAAACCGAACTGAATATATTCAAACCCGATTCAGATCTGAATCGGATTGAACCCGAACTGGTTAAACACGTAATCGATTAGATCCAAAACCGATTAGACCAAAAGCGAATAGACCCGATATTCATGAAGTACAAAATAAATTAAACTCAAATCCAGTCAAACCTAAAAGATCATTGGTTGATGTCTTTCTAAGAAAAGCATATTTGAATAATAGGTACAACTGATTTCAAGTACAAATCTTTTGCTCCGTACAAATCTTATGTAGAATATATATAATTTATAGCGACGTCGTAACACATTGATAAATATACTGGCTCATTATGGTGACACTTGTATATATAACCCCGTTTACACATAGTGAGGGGATCCTACAAACAAGGTATAAACCCAAACCGATATAAACTTGATAAGTGGATCCTCACAGCTTGTAGGAATGATAAGTGGATCCTCGCAGCCTAGTATAAGACAGTTAGTCATACATGTGATTTTGTTGAAAATAAAGGTGTTACCTTTTTGTTTTAATCAAACTAAATTTAATGCAATATAAATCATTTGGCAACATTTGTAATAAGTGATTTTTATGTGAAGCTCTGTTGTATGTCATCATTGAGTATTAGGGATTTGTTTTGCCAAAGTTAGCACAGAAAACACACATAGGAGATCCCTGAACTTGAACCTCCCAATATTTCTGAACAGAAAGGAAACCAACATGATCATCCAAGCATTTATGATATTCTTTTGTAACAGCCTAGTATAAGTGGATCCTTGCAGCCTTCTCATTTATCTACTGGTCATAGGTCATCCCAACTATGAAGTGGTTTGGTGGCACGAAGATTGAATTTGCCTTGTACTTTGCAACTATACCAAGTTTTGAAACCTTAGGTTTAGTATTTAGTCTATGTATCTAGGTTTTAGGCGTATTGTGATGCATTTNAGCATTTATGATATTCTTTTGTAACAGCCTAGTATAAGTGGATCCTTGCAGCCTTCTCATTTATCTACTGGTCATAGGTCATCCCAACTATGAAGTGGTTTGGTGGCACGAAGATTGAATTTGCCTTGTACTTTGCAACTATACCAAGTTTTGAAACCTTAGGTTTAGTATTTAGTCTATGTATCTAGGTTTTAGGCGTATTGTGATGCATTTATGTGAAGCTCTGTTGTATGTCATCATTGAGTATTAGGGATTTGTTTTGCCAAAGTTAGCACAGAAAACACACATAGGAGATCCCTGAACTTGAACCTCCCAATATTTCTGAACAGAAAGGAAACCAACATGATCATCCAAGCATTTATGATATTCTTTTGTAACAGCCTAGTATAAGTGGATCCTTGCAGCCTTCTCATTTATCTACTGGTCATAGGTCATCCCAACTATGAAGTGGTTTTGTGGCACGAAGATTGAATTTGCCTTGTACTTTGCAACTATACCAAGTTTTGAAACCTTAGGTTTAGTATTTAGTCTATGTATCCAGGTTTTAGGCGTATTGTGATGCATTTATGAGGGGTTTAGTTTATCATAAAATATGCATTGTAATTTTTCTATATTATTAAATGTAAGTTCTAATAAATTAGCTTCCATTTTATTCAAAAATGAATATGGATAAATACTAGTACTGGTTTTAACTTGCATATTGAAATTTATATTAGCTTTTGCCTAGTTTCTCTGTATTATCAAAATGGAATATAGATATAAATCAGTTTGGTTTTGGTTTTCATTTTAATTTGCATATTAATATTCATATTGGCTTTTGCCTAGTTCATTTTGCATTATCAATATGTTTAGATATCTTACACATTAATGTTAATTTACATGGGGTGGCATCTGTAGATGATAAGAAACGTGAAACTAGATTGAGATATTTTGGACTCATGAAAAGGAAAAGCGATGCTCGGGTGAGGAGGTACGAGAGGCTAGAGGTATGGAATTTGAGAAGGGGTAGATGTAGACCAAAGAAGAGTTAGAGCAAGGTAATTTGACATGACTTGCAACTTCGGAAGCTTAGGACAGACCCTAAATAGAACCACTAGGAGCGTCTCAGGTCAAGGATTAAAGTTGTTGGGCAAGCTAGATAGGAGTGATTTGCTCTGTGTGTAGGACTTGATTAGTTAAATGCAGTAATGTGTTTGCTTGGTGTTTGATTTACCATTACTTATTGAACTCTACTAATCTTTGTGTTTTGTGCTTGACCTGAGGCCCTCCGTAACCACTTGTGGGATTTATGCTAGTTCTTCTTGTTGTACGCATTAATTTTAATTCAAATGACATATGAATGAATTTATGGATGAATAGAGGGATACTATAAACTAAATGCCAAATGAGTTTCTGAATGAAAATAAGGGATCTACAAACTAAGTGCGGACTTTTGAATAGGTCACACGCGGTTTTGTCTCATGTGGACCCGTAGTACACATGCCAACAACAGTCAAAAATTGGGTGCCCTCAATCTAACACATGGCACCATGTGATTAAATGTTCTGAAGTTAAGGATACTACTTTAGCAAACCAGAGATCATGGTGTGATTTGCTCACCCATGCAAAGGCTGGATTATTAGATTTTATGCAATGTTCGAAAAGGCGGAACGCAAACCCGCCTCAAGGCGCGCCTCGAAGCATTTTTCGGAAATTACGCACTGGTGCTAATCCCGATTTCACGCGCTAGGCTTTTTTAAGCAATTCTTAGAAAGGCGTACGCCATGGGGCGTACGCTCCGGTGCGCGCATTGAGGCTTACGCAATTCAATGATTAGAATTTAGAAAATTAAACAATTAAAATTTTGCATATTAAAGGTTAAAGTTGTCAATTACTCCAATTAATTAACCCGATTAAGTGTATATATGTTAAAATTACCTTTGTCTAGTGTCGATTACCCTAATTGCCTTTGTCGATTACCTTTCTGCGACCCACGAACCGTCTCCAGCAGTCCAGCGTCTTCAATCTTCTTTCTCCGGCAAAGGTAATCTCTGCGTCTTCTTTTTCTTTCCACTTGCGTTGATGGATAATGGATGATGATGGGTGGTGGGTGGTGCTTTTTCTGCTTTTTACAGCTGTCCATGCTTTTTATCTTTTTATAATTGTCAAGGTGCTGTTTTTAACTTTTTTCTTTTTCTTTTTTTTGTTATCTTTTTGTGAAGTAGACTAACATTCAATTGATGTTTTTTATGAGTTTTATGATTGGTATTTTTTTCAAGCAATTGGATCGGCTGATTTTTTTTACCTGTTATTCTGTTAATTTATTTTTTTTCTCCTTTTTTGATAATTGATGTGCTAATTGTTCTATTTTTTAAGATGAATTATTGCATAGTATTGTATTGTTTATTTTGGTTTCAGAAATTAGCATATTGCTTAAATGTCGGACCCAGCATGGAAATATGGTGTTGACTCAACACCCAATATCGAAGGACAAAAAAAAACTACAAATATGTAAACTGCAATTTTTGTAAAAAAGATGTCAAAGGCGGGATTAGTCGAGCAATATTATGTCTGATTCCATGTTAGACTTTGTTATGTTTGCGATGTATTACTTTGACAATATATTTTTTTCATGTTATTGGATTATTTATGTTATACATTATGTTCTATCTTTGGTTTTAAATTGTTTTGTGAATGTTTTTCAATTTAAGTTTTGAGGCTTACGCCTCAAAACGCCTCAAGGCTTATGCAATACGCCATGAAATGAAAACGCCTCAAAACCGCAATACGCCTTTTCGAACATTGATTTTATGTTCCCAAAAGAAGATGAAAAGCAGCAGTCATGAGTACCTGCAGAGTTCACTGAATAGCTCAAACAGCTTTTGAGGCCTACGAAGCTCGAAAGCAATCTGGATTGCTGTAGTGTAATCTTTATCCAACACAGCATTCTCTAGTTCCTGACTTCTCAATACACCTTCTTCCTGTATCAGCATTGCAAAGGGTTAGTTTTACCAGATAACTCCCAACTTCATACTACATGCCGCCAAAAAATAATATATCTCACTTCTCTACGAAAAGCATCCTCTTTATCTGAAGCTGTGGAGTCGTGCCATAAATTGATTACCGCATCACTACCCCCGGTGGCAAGCATTTCTGTCTTCTTCCCAATAGCTAAAGCCCAAATCTGCAGTCAAACATATTGGAGATATATGACAAATGATTCTTATACAAATCTAAAGGACTAATTATGGAATAGTTTTCAAAAATTGAGAACAACGAATGTAATATCTTAGAATTAGGGACTAAATATAGAAAACTATCTGTTATAAGGAACCATTCATGGAATTTAATCAAAACTCTGAATGCAAAAAAATGTATGATTTGATCAGATAATAAAGCTAGTCAATGACAGAGCTCAAAGGATGGTGAGCACATATAGCGCCATGTAGATATGAATGAGTGCACATCAAATGCAGAAGAATATTCCATATGCTTCATTAAGCACGACAGAACTTAGGGGGTGTTTGTTTTTCTGCCAGAAGACCTTCTGGCATCTTTTGTCGCAGACGCGCGCAGATGATGGGCTCTGCAGATTGTTTGTTTTTTGGAAGACATTTCACTCAAAAAGGTCTTCCTGGCATCTTCTTGGAGAAGACATTAACCAATGTCTTCTAACATCTTCTCCTTTTTTTTCTACTTCTTTTCACCACCACAACCGTTCACCGCCACCGTCCACCACTACCACCGTCCACCATCACCGTCACCGTCCATCACCATCGTCGTCCACCACCACCGCCACCATCCACCGCCACCACCGTCCACCACCACCGCTGTCACCCTCCACCACCACCCTCCACCACCACCACAATCGTCCATACACCACCACCGTACACTACCACCATTAATTTATATAGCAGTCTACAGACATTAAAAAACAAACAGTCTTCTTCTTGCAGACCGCAGACCTTCGGTCCACCACTTCTCCTGCAGATGTCTACAGTAGTGGTCCGCAGACC